GACCCCTTGGAAAAATGTAAAGGTAAAGGGGTAATTTTCAAATTACCTAGAGGTGGAAGTGGAAGGAAGGCAGCATAAGGGCTGTGGGGAGGTAACAGTCATGTGCAATGCTGAAAACTCTACCACTCAGCCTTCATCAAGTAAGAAACGTTTTCATGAAGTCAGAGAAGAAAGGGCTCTTGCAGAACCTAGCTAGGTCTCAGTATTCTCCTCTGTAACATGGGGATGATAATGCTGACTTCAGGAGGGTGGTACGGGGATTGAATGAGGTAATGAATGTGGCAGTACTTCATGGAGAATAAAAACATAAAATATGTTTTTAAGTTGAGGATGTGCACTGAAGTCATGGCAAAGAGAGAGCAAAAGCTTGGGCAGAAACTTTTTGAATATGTGGATTCCTAGGGTCCCCTAAGATGCAAAATGCAATCTTAATTCAATAATTAAAAGGTCCAATCCTATGGAAGAATAAAAACTCAAGACTTGAGTTAATATTGGGTTGTTCCCCTCCCCTAGTTCGAGCTCCCTCCTGGTTGGTAGCCTGTAATCAAAAGTAGGAGGTATAACTGCCTTCTCTCCTCTCCTCCACCCAACACTTCTACTCTTCTTTGCCTGATCTTGCTACAGCCAGAATCCAGAAGAGGAAGGGGAAGCAAGAAAGTGTCTACTTGGCTGATGCTGTTGTTGCCATTTAGCCTCTATGTTCCTGAGATTCAACCCTTTTCTCTCATGAGGGCCTCTGTAGGTTCTTTGAAGATAATTCCCCTCTCCCCCAGTCACTCCCTTGAAGTGCCCTTGGTTACAGCAAATTCCTCCCTATACCTTCCTCATCCTCGAGGAATTCTGTGATTCCTCCAGCTTCTTCTTGCTGAAGTCCATCACTGTCCCTAAGCAGCCCCACACCAGAAATCTCTCACACCTGACCCAAGTCTAGTTCTTGGGAAATATTCACTCAACCTTTGGCCAAGAAACAGGGTGTACGGGTGCAGTAGATAGCTCTTCTTTGCCCAATACAAGCCAGTGGCTCACTCTTTAGATTTTTAAGGAGGAAATAGGCACCAATCAACTGGGTCCCCACAAAATGACAGACAATGCATAATTAGCTGAGTGAACTCCTTAACATCCTCTCTCTTTGGGACTGAGATGAAGAGGAAAAAAACCCACACA